GTTTCTTCATTGACTCCGATCAGTCATGTTATTTTTCTTTGCATCGTCTAGCAGCTGGTGGCTTGATTTCTCAGGAGCCCTTACAGTTTTGAAGCAGTTGTTCTTTTCCTGGTTACTAAGTGCCATCTTATCTTCTGTATCTGAAATTCTGTCCTCATATTGACTCATTATGCTGCATAAACTTTGAATGGAGTTTTTAATCTCCTGGAAATCTGTTTGCATCTGTTTTATGGATTTGATTTGTTTCCTATGTTGGGATTCTATCATTTTCCTCAGCTCCTCTATTTTTTAATCTGTGTCCTTGCTAGATTTATTAATCATGTCTTGCACCATGGGCACAATCTCTGCTGTACTGTGAGAAATTATTTCTGATTTCACTTTTTCCAGATCCTCTTTTGTTGCCAGTTCAGGGAGTCCAGGTGGTTGAATATCAGAGTGTTCCATCTCATTTCCTTTTGGGGTTGCTGTAGGTGATCTGGAAGCCTGGTTTTGAGACTTGTTTATGTGTCGTCTCATTTCAATGGCGGAGGGTTGCTGTTGGGACCCATAAGGCTCACCTCCTCTGTGCTGGGAGCAGTGGAATGGTGGCTCAGAAGCCCCTTCCTCTGGGCTTCAAGGAATGCAATGGTGGCTCAGAAGCCCCTTCCTCTGGGCTTCAAGGTGTGGAATGGTGGCCTGGAAGCCCCTTCCTCTGGGCTGGGAGTGGTAGAGCAGCAGCCTGGAAGCCCCTTCATCTGGGCTGGGAGTAGTGGAATGATGGCCCAGAAGCCCCTACCTCTGGGCTGAGAGTGGTGGAATGGTGGCCCGGAAGGCCCTAACTCTCAAAATCCTTTTTAAAGCCACCATTTAGATAAATTCAATGAAAACCTATATGATTCCAAGTGGTTTCTTTTAAGGGGCCTGGCTTATGCCAGATCACACGTAAAAACCATGAGGAACTTGGAAGAGAGTAAAAAACATGAGGAACTTGCACCACTAGTACAAATGTGTTCAACTTTCCAGGCTACAAGGAAAAAAGAGGCATTGCAGACTGTTCACAGTGTTGATGAAGAGTACCACTGATGCATGTTGCAAGCAGAATTAAAAAACGGACTCCATTCTGGCAACTCTTAATGAAATTTAAATTTTCAGTTTTTCAATCAGTGGTAGCATTGATGGCAATTTGACTATCACCATCCTAGGGGTATTGAAGTTTGGCTCAGCCAATTGTCTTTTGAAGGTTTGAACTATAGGAGGGCCTTATGTCTCAGTTTGACTTTTCAAATTATTCAAGGAATTTTACAGAAATCCAACCTCAAAACTGTTTATTTGATTATTCAGTACATATAAGAATAATATACTGTGACTCTCAATTGGAGAATTTTAGAACTGGGAGGGACACTAGATATGATTTCTTGAGGCATGTCATACATTTGTTTGTTTTTTTGGTACTGGGGATCAAACTCAGAACCTTGAGCTTGTGAGGCAGCCACAGTGCCAGTGAGCTAAATCCCTAGCCCAAAAGTGCTATTTTCTTTTTTTTTGCTGTACCATGGATTGAACTCAGGACTTTGTGCTAGCAAGGAAGGCACAATGCCACTGAGCTAAATCCCCACCCCCATGCTATTACTTTATGCATAGAGAAAAGAAGCCCCTAGAGTGCAAGGGATTTGCTGATGTTCTCTCAGTAATTCAGAGCTCTAGTCTGAGACAGTCTTCCAGAGCACTTGCAAACCTAGCTTGTCATATAACCAAGCACTCCACATTTAGTTCCTTCAGGTTGCCCTATTAACAAAATACTACAAACCAGTTTATAAACAATAAACATTTATTTCTTATACTTCTGAAAGCTTTGAAATGCAACATCAAGATGCCATCAGATTCGGTGCCTGGTGAGGACCTGTTCTTTATTTATTTGCCTTCTTTCTGTGACTTCACATGTTGGAATGGGCAAGGCAGCTCTCTGGGTCCTCCTTTATTAGGACACTAGTCCTATCAATATCTAATACCATAAGCTTGGGTGTTATCATTTCAATATATGAATTATGGAGGGAACACAAACCTTTAGACCATAGCACACTTTAATTTTTGCTTATCCCCCAATTCTGTACTCATTTTAAAATGTAAAATGCATCGTACCACTATTCATAAGATTTTTAGCACATTAAGCAGAAAAGTCAAAACTCCTTACCAGATCTGGGCCATCTGCTTCCACCTCCCTCTTGCTCATTTCCCACCACTCTTCCTCTTACTTCATCACATTCAACACAACGTATCCTACTGCCTTCATGTTGTTTCTCCAACTTAGAAACTCATTTATTCTGAGGATCGTTATATCTACACTTTCTATTGTGCTTGTATTGTTATTTCTTACACCTTTTCCTGGCTTGTTCTTTCTTTTTTTAAATTAAATTCTTTCATTTGTACATTTTTGGTATACAACACAATTACATTTCTCATTGGGAATTGTACTCTTACATAATGCATCTTGGTACTTATTTTTTCCCCCATTCCTAGCCCTCCCTTCACCCCCTCCACCTTTCCCTATTTACAAAGACTGTATTTCGATTTTTTCCATTTCTCATCATTTTTCCTTTCCCTTCTTTCCTTTCCCCTGCCCCTCCCACTACCCCTACCCTTTTGGACCTTTTCTTCCTATTTT